GTATACATAAAAGTACAGGGCGCTTCTCTATGTTTGGCCTTCTAGAACTTGAGGAGCAGGTATTTCCCACAGTTGGATTTTGTGCACTGATATAACTGGGGATGTGTGGTGCTTTGGGACTCAGTGCATGAATGTAACAGAATATAGAAGAAAAACAGTTAGTAGACTACTTGGAAAGCATGGGGGCTAAGCTTCATGGGAAAAATAGATGATGTTATCAAATTCACTGAGACTATATTTAGCAGCAAAGGATGCTTTATTTTCTGACTCAGCAGGTATAGAAGAAAGCAGCTATTGTTGGCCTTTTCCAAACAATCCCCTTCTCTGAGAAAAATAGTGGATACTGGAGAATGGGGATGAGTTCTAAGCTTGAGTCCAGCAGCAGGGCTTACCACAACATCACCTATGTGAATATGCTTCTCCCCTTAGTCTGCCCCCCCAACACACAGCCAACCTTCTTCCCACCTTTCTCACCCTTCCCAACCTGCTTAGCCTGCTCCGTTAGCCACAGGCAATTCACCACTGAGGTGGCTGCCAAGAGGGCTGGTGGGATGCCAGGCCTGCAGGAAGGAGAGGGTCATGCCAAGAGCATGCGCTGAAGGCTCATGACTCTTCTCCCAGCAGCAGTGTGCCATGTCTAAGAAAGCATCCACATCTATACTAAGAACACCACAGTCTGGGTGGCTGAAATGCTGTGTATTCTTCACAGCTAAGGCCACTCTGAAGTCTGACATCCTGGAACCTGTGTAGCCAGGCTCTGAGAGGGTCCTCTTTCTAACTTCCTCACCTAGGGGAAAGGGTGGGAGTAAAACTAGGTCTTTCTTGTCAGTTCTTTTAGGGCACTAATTCCGTCTTGACCTAATGACCTTTCCCAGTTGAGTTTCCAAATACCATCACATTGGATATCAGGGTTTCAACATGGATTTGAGGGTGACTCATTCAGTCCACATAGCTTTTGGCTTCCTTAGAACTTGCATGGGATTAGAGATCACTGTGGGCTCTCAAGGAAGCTGGTTAGCAGAGTGGTTCACACTGGCATGTGGATAGGTGGAGTGAAGAAAGTGGCAGGGACAGAGGGAGAAGGCCACAGGGTTCTATAAAACCAGGTTTGGGCAGCTTCCTTGGAAGACCATTTTGAAATCCTCTGGGTTTTTGGATCGCTTGGATTAAACAAAGAAAATCAGGCTTTGCCTTCCAACTGTACAGCATGACAAACCTTAAAACAGATGGCTTTCCCAGAGTCCTTTGTACATCTGAGATCAGAGCTGTGGTCTCAGGACGGTTTGTAAGCAAAAGCCTGTGGAAGCCACCTGCCCCAGAGCAGCCTGCTTTGTATGTGGGTGGAAAAGGCTCCTGGGGCTACCTTGCCCTGGCCAGGGTCACTGACTGTAGCCCACCCTCTGTCTCTTGCCCTTTTCTGGATCCTACCAGAATGGATTGCAAGATGTGCAGGCCCTGGTCCATCACAGAGGAAGGCTATAAACTGGGAACTTGCCCCTTGGATGAAGGGCACTGAGGTCTTCCCCCAGCCTCTGTCTCCTTGAGGTTTTGGGTTCAAGGTTGAGGATATGGTAATTGGACTGGATTCCTACTGTTAGTAACTGGATCACAGCTGTAGTAACAGAAAAGGCAAGGGGAATTCACTGCCATGTCTTTCCTTCGAAACTAGGGGAAGTCTGGAAAGAAAGACACTGGTATTTAGGAGAAGTAAGTCCAAGGGATGGTGCTGGAAAAGTTAAACCTAAGGGGATGGGACCCAAGCAGAGGTGAGTCCTAGAGCCTGGAGCCTACAAGACTGATAGCTCTCCTTAACCTATTAGGTGGTGGTCCATAAGCACCAGGCTTCAAGGACCATTTGCTTCACTTCTGTATGTAGCCAGGTGCCTGTACCTTCTTCCTGGCCAGGAGAGCTGGAACTCAGAACTAAGGAACTGCACTGAGCACTGAGCATCAGGTGCCTGCTTGTGGCTGCACAAGCCCTGCTGACCTTGACCAGCTCCTTTGCTTATTAAAAGGACTCACGGAATGTTCCCAGCAGAGGGCTCTGCAGGATTCAGCTATGAGAAAAAACACTAGATAACATGAAGTGTAGGCTTTTATTCTCTCTCTCTCTCTCTCTCTCTCTCTCTCTCTCTCTCTCTCTCTACTTGCCAGAGCAAAGAGATAGTGAAGTGCGATCACCCCCAAAAGATCTGTTGTGAGCATGGCCCAGTGGAGACCAGACCAGGTCCTCATGGGGCAGGAAGGGTGGGGGACACCCCAGGGACCACGTGGGGACTCAGGCCCCCAGTTTCCATCTCTCAGGAGCTGCAGATGGAGGGATCTAGCAGGCAGCACTGGACTAGCACTGTGTTCTTACCACTCCCACGGCTCAGCTTTTGCAAGTCCCTTTAGTGACTCAAGCCCCAATGCTTATTCTTCAGAAGCTGCTTGGTATGAACCTGACACAATTCAATGGCACCCACTCTACTTGTTCATGTGCGTCAGTGGGGATTCAGGTTGTGTGCTCACCCCCTACTCTTCCAGAATGGAGGGTTAGGCTCCCCAGATTTAATCTCAGCCACAAGGGTCATTAATCATTCATTGGGGTTCATCTTCAGTCTTAGTGACTGTGTTCGTCCCTCTCACTGTCTAAATCATTGATCTCCAGCAGTGTGCAAAATCTTGCCATCTTCCATGTGAAGAAAAGTAGACACAGAGCAAGTCTTTTCCACATAGGACTTTATTCCTCCAGGGCTGGGATTGAACCCTGGGATTTGAGTATGCTAGGAAAGCACTCTATCACTGAATTATAACCCCTAGGCCTAAATAAGGTTTTCCTGCCCAACTTGGTTCTTGTAAGACACCAGAGTAACAACACAAAAGTCATTGCTTCAGCACAGGTGGGAAAAAGACAAAAGGCCTAACCTCAGCTTTAGAAGCCTCACCTAAGCCCCTTTGGCCTCCTATCTTTGTTTTTGTTTTGTTTTTTTGGTGGAACTCAGGATTGAACTCAGGTCCTTGTGCTTGCCAGGCAAGTGCTTATTTCACTGAGCCATGTCCTCGGCCCCTGCCTCCTATCTTTGAAGAGGGCACTGGATTCATTGTCCTCCGGAGGTAGAAGGTGAGAAGTGAACAGAGTTGCTCTGGAAAAATCCTTGTCACTTTAGGCACTGGCAGTACACTGTGTGGTACAAGAAAGAACTTACTGATGACATCCAGAAGCACCAAGGCCACAAACTCTGACAGCTTTGCCCAGATCCAAGGGAAACCTTCAGAACGCTTAGCACCCTTGGCTAGCATCCTACAGCCACCTTGGAAAGAAGTGGCTTAGGTAAGTGAGCTTTTCTGAGGGACACTGAAACTGATCTAAATGTCCGATAAGGTCGTGTAGGACCCTATCTACCAGCCCCAGGAAGCCAGAAGCACATATCTGGCACCTAGAACGCCAGAGTGGGCTCCCCAATATCATCTTCTATAACGTGTCAGAGATACCATACCACGTGCTTCTGCGTGCACTTTCTTCCCCACAGTGGCTTCACGATGTTATACAAGTGGCTTTTTGTGTGGCAGCTGCTTTGAATTTAAGTGCTCAGTCCGTGGAAGATTTCCAGTCCTGGAGAGAGAGAGAGAGAGAGAGAGAGAGAGAGAGAGAGAGAGAGAGAGAGAGAAAAAAAAAAAAGAAAAAAAAAGAAAACAAGAAAAAAAGAAAAAAAAAAAGAAAAAATCTTCATGCATCTTATGCGCTTTTCATCATTGCAAAAGGAAATCCTAATAGGATACCCGATAATGGACAAGGCCATATCTTAGTATCCACCTTGGCTTGTATGAATTGCCTTTATCCGTTAAGATCACCAGCACCTTTTCATTAAAATGGCTAGTGAATTATGTATCAGAGCTTAGTTTAAAGCTTCAGGTATGTTTTCAGACAGAAATATTACAAGAATGCAAGTCAGGTATATATCTCATGTAGATAACAGTGGGAGTTCTTCCTACAGGGAAATTCTCCACTCTCAGGTTTCCCGAGGTTGAGATCCAGGGCGCGCATCATTAATCATTCATTGGGGTCCATCCTGAGTCGCCGGCAGCTCTGAGAAAGCTGAAGCGCTCCGCTAGCTAATCCCTCCTGCCAGGGGATCCTGGGGCGAGAGGACAACAAGGTAGTCCGTCACATGTGCCAAAGCCCAGTCTTGCCTAGGTCGGAGAGTGGGTGGGTGCCTTGTGTGCTCGCGTGCTTGTGCGCGCGCGCTCTCCCATGCGCGCTCACCAGCCGCAACACAATCCCAGGAGGAAAAACAAATTAGGCATAATGTCCCGCACTATCAGTCCAGAGTTTCTAAAGGAAAGCAGCACAACTCGCGGGACAGTGAGGAGGTAGCTTTCCAAACTCAAGAAACCCGTACCTACCGCCTTAAGGAATCAGTATACAAACCAATCTTCCCTACAAACCGCGCCACACCAAACCCTTCCCAACTTGGGCTGTGTGGTTCCAGCACACGAAGCCGTCTTAAGGATTCCGGGGGAAGGGATGAGCTCAGAGAATTAATGGGGACTGAGAAGAATCTGGATATTGGGTTCTAAGTGGGCAGAACC